CCTTGCATACTGGAGATAGCTTTTCTTTTATAGAAGCATTCATAGATATATCTAGACCTTTGATGGTGTATTCTAAACAAAAGCCAAGAGGCCTCGCATTTTCTTTTTCCCTCGTGGGGTTCGTTCTCTGCTGCTCGCATCTGTCTCTCAAACTCAAGCAAAGGGGGGGCTATCAGGTCCCACCCCTCTGGGGGCTCAGAGCTCCCACTCAGCCGCACACGCGGCATCCTAAACCCTAATAAACCCTAATAAACCCTAATAAACCCTAAACCCTAATAAACCCTAATTCGGATGGTGATAGTGGGGGGGATGGGATAGTTGGTGTTTACGCTGTTGGAGAAGAGTAGAGAATCATCGAATACACATATTTATAAAAAAAAAAAAAAAAAATATTTTGGCGGGGTTGAGTGGTGAGGGTTTAGGGTTTTCGGGGGTTTAGGGTTTTTCTGAGGGTTTATGGGGTATGGGGTGAGGAAAATAATAAAGAAAGAACGAGCAGAGAGAAATAAAAATAAAATAAAAAAGAAAACAAAGAAATATAAAAATATAACGAAGGGTTCTAGGGTTTAGGGTTTAGGGTTTAGGGTTTAGGGTTTAGGGTTTAGGGCTGGGGGCCCCTAGGGTGGGGCTGTGGCTGCTGCCGCATGCTAAGGCTTTGCGGCCTCAAGGGTTTAGGGTTTAGGGTTTAGGGTTTAGGGTTTGGGGGGGTTGTGAGAGTACGAGAAAAAATTTTTGTTGCTGTCTTTTTGTTTCTTTTTGTTTGGTGTGTGAGCCCAAGCAAAAGGCTCGGGGTTGTAAACCCTAAACCCTAAACCCTAAACCCTAAACCCTCGTCTCTCCTGGGGGAGGAGGCCGTTTGATCTTTTTCTGATAGGGAGGCGTATTAGTTCCCTTGCATAAACCCTAAACCCTAAACCCTAAACCCTAAACCCTTATAAAAACAGGTTCCATGTTCTATAAGAAATTTTTTTTTCAGAAATTTTGACACCAACCCAAACCCTAAACCCTAAACCCTCGAAAACCCTAAACCCTCGAAAACCCTAAACCCTCATAAACCCTAGAAAATGCATCATCTAAGACAACAGTGGTCAGACCTCATGGGGTCCATCGATGACCCCAATCAGTCTTTCACAGATGAAAATGTTTGCAAGTATTTTCTTACGGGTTTATGCCCCCATGATCTCTTTGAGAACGAGGTAAACCCTAAACCCTAAACCCTAAACCCTAATAAACCCTAAACCCTAATTTGGGGTTAGAGGGGCGAGAAGTGGTTTATAGAAAAAAACCGTTAATTTTAAACACTTATTCAGCATATCCTAGACAGCTATATACTCCTTGTGGGTTTTCTAGGGTTTAGGGTTTTATTAGGGTTTAGGGTTTAGGGTTTAGGGTTTAGGGTTTTGGATGCGGTGTGGTGCGTCTTGCAGGCTGGTTTCCTTACTCTTAATATTCGCAATGTGAGACTTGCTGCTAGGGTTTAAGGGTTTGATTAGGGTTTAGGGTTTAGGGTTTAGGGTTTAGCGTCTGGGGGGTTGGATGGGTGGGTACACGAAGGTAGGGTTTAGGGTTTAGGGTTTAGGGTTTGAGCCTCGGGAGTGAGGGTTTGTGTGTGTGTTGTTTTTGCTTCAGAACTACCACAACATGAAGGTGAGATACTTGACATCCCGAGGGTCTAGGGTTTAGGGTTTAGGGTTTGTGCATAGACCTGTAATAGTTTGAGGGTTTAGGGTTTAGGGTTTAGGGTTTGTATACAGAATAAATTTTACCTGGGCCCGTGCAAGCAGCGCCACATAGAAACCCTCAGAGACCAGTATTTATAGGGTGTCGTGTTGAGTGTCTAGGGTTTAGGAATACGAGGGTTTAGGAATATTAGGGTTTAGGGTTTAGGGTTTAGGGTTTGTATACAGAATAAATTTTACTTGGGCCCGTGCAAGAAGCGCCACATAGAAACCCTCAGAGATCAGTACTTTGAGGCCCGCAAGCAGAAGAGGTACGGGTTTGAGGAGCTGGCGGTTCAGCTGTGTCGAGCTCTGGTAGAAGAAGCAGATAAAAAAGTTCAAACCGCCCAGGTAATTAGGGTTTAGGGTTTAGGGTTTAGGGTTTTGGGTTTAGGGTTTTGGGTTTTGGGTCTAGGGTTTAAGCGGGGTCACGGCGAGCAGAAAGAGGGGTTATACCCTGGGGTTAATTCCAACCCGTTAGGGTTTAGGGTTTAGGGTTTAGGGTTTAGGGTTTAGCAGAGTGTGAGGGTTTAGGGTTTAGGGTGTTTTAGGGTCTAGGATCCCGTTTGAAGTGCTTTCACCTCGAAATAAAAGAGGTAAAGATATAACTAGGGTTTAGGGTTTACGGTCTAGGGTCTAGGGTTTAGGGTTTAGGGTTTAGGGTTTAGGGTTTGTATACAGATGCGTGTCGATTGCGCCTCTCTTCCTGGGGTTGGAGACAAGTCTGTACACCCGGAGGTTTTGCGTTTGGATCAGTCTATCGCACAAAAGTTCAAAGAAGTACTCTAAACCCTAAACCCTAAACCCTAAACCCTAATTCCTAAATGCTTTTAGATTTAAACCCTAATCAACACTGGGGAACATAAACCCTCGTACATACACCCTGGAAAGTGCTCATTCCTACACCCTCATAAACCCTCGTAAACCCTCGCAAACCCTCATAAACCCTCATCATCATAAACCCTTACAAACCCCCGTAAACCCTCATTGCCCAGCCCTTTTAACAAACCCTTCTAAACCCTAAACCCTGCTAAACCCTAGAAGTATATATATATGTGTATATATATATATATATATACAGATGGAGGACCTGGGAAAGCTGGGCCGCATAGACCAGTCTATGGCGGTTTCTCTCGAGTTAACTTCTTTACAAACGAGAAGAGCAAAACTCTTATTTAGGAATGCAGAGGGACAGCTCACGCAGAGACTCAGACCCTGTGATGTTTGTGGGGCTCTCTTGTCAGGTATGAGATCTAGGGTTTAGGGTTTAGGGTTTAGGGTTTAGGGTTTACGGTCGAGGGTTTAGGGTTTAGGGTTAGGGGATTTTTAGGGTTTTTCAGGGCTTTTCTAGGGTTTACGGTTCTGGCGGTTGCGGGTTGGGAGGGTATTTTTAGGGTTTTGATGGGTTTTTCTAGGGGGTTTTAGGGTTTAGGGTTTAGGGTTTAGGGTTTGGCGGAGTATAGGCTGGTGTTTTAGGGTTTTATGGCTTTATGTTTGTGTGTTCGGGTTTAGTGTTTGTGAGTGTGTTTTAGGGTTTAGTATCTAGGCTTTCCTAGGGTTTCCGGTTTCGTGTTTCATGTTTAGGGTTTAGGGTTTAGGGTTTAGGGTTTAGGGTTTAGGGTTTGTGTTGCAGCGAACGACACGGACCGGCGTCTCGATGAGCATTTCTCTGGGCGCGTACATTTAGGGTTTCAGAAGCTCCGCGACGCCCTCAAAAAAAACTTAGAGTATATTGCGCAGGCTCCGATGCCAGACCAGGATCTATCGAGAATTCTTATCAAGTAGGGTTTAGGGTTTAGGGTTTAGGGTTTAGGGTTTAGGGTTTAGGGTTTGGGGGGTGCGGGGGGGGGGGGTGTGGGGTGGGGTTTGAGGGGAACGGGAAAAAACGGGGTTCTCAAGCGCCAGATTAGGGTTTATCTCGG